ATTAGAGTCTCTGAGGTACATGAGAGAAAACGGAGGTCTAAGGCATCCTGAAGCAGAGAGAAAATGTAGGTCTCAAATGTGGAACTCAATAGAGAAGTTATGGCTACATGTTTTATGGGCTATTGAGCGTAATATTAATCGTCTGATTTTACGATAACTAACATGTTCGACCATGATCAGTATAATAGTACTAGTACTTCCCACTTCAAAGGTTTATTTTGCAGTATCGTACCACATATCAGTATTGTACTTCAATGGTAAAAGGTTGGATATCTCGACAACTAGAGGGTGCTTGATAAAAGGCTTGATCTATGTCATTTTATGTCCAAAGGAAAAAAATCTACACTCCTACGACGTGCTACGTGTGTAATAACATGGGCCTGGCAGTAGCTTTACTTTACTTTTACTTTTATCCTCTTCACCACTGATTGGCTTGTTAGCCCGTTGGGCAATCGGTCACTTTTTACTTATACTTTTATCCTCTTCACCACTGATCGGCTCGTTAGCCACTTTGGCGATCGGTCACGTCTCTGTTACTTTTCTTTTTCTTTTATCCTCTTCACCAATTGATAGGCTCGTTAGCTGCTTGGGCGATCGGCCACGTCTCTGTTACGCACTGTTGGCAAGTACTAGTCATGTACTGGCTCCTAGATATATTGGAACCTGCTCCAGTGCTGGTCAAGTCCTTTCTTGAAAGAGCTTCCACTTGGTGCCGTCACAACACTCTCTGGCAGATTGTTCCAAGAGTTCACAATTCTCACTCTGAAAAAAAATGCCCTAACAGCTTTTTTTTTTTAGATTGCCCCCGAGGGGGCTATTTCATTGGGCACCCCCTTACATCCTGTGCAAGGCGAAGCGCAGAAGTGTTTACAGCGCCCAACTGGGAAGCATATGGAGTTCATGCTTGCCTTTATCACTCATGCATTAAGGGCATAAAAGCCTGAAGGGTCATGTCAGCAAGTTACATAAAGTGACAATGAAAAGTGTGTGGGGGGAAAATTCCCATTACAATTTATCTGTTTATGGCAAAGCGTGGCAGGTCCCTAATAATGTCAAGTGCCAGGCCATAGGCATTGACAATAATGAAGGACATACCTTTTAGTGTGATTGTGATGGCGTGTACGTCGATAGTGTCGGCTTCAAGAGGTTGGTAGGGGACATCCTTCTTAGCGTAGATACATAGTCCACTAGCATGTCCTTATGGTGGTTAATTGATGTGGAGAACTAGAGTGGATGGGCCCCAGATGCCGGCATGCCGGCGGGGGACAGGGAGCCGGGGTGGTGTCCTCGGGTCCATGAGCAGGCGCGGCTTACGGTGGGTGGACGGGGGCAGCAGGGCACACCGTGGCAGGCTCGGTAGGTGCCACGTCAGCAGTGATGCCAGGCGGCGGTGAAGTAGGCCGTGAGCAAGAGGGGCACACAGGAGGGCTACCAGCTTGTGTCAAACCAGAAGTGGGGGGTGACTGGGTAGCAGCTGAAGGCAGGGGTAGTCTGTGTAGTTTGGCGATGGCGGTACAGAGTGTATCAAACAATCTTTCAATACAGTTGGTAAATTCGTGGAAGAGGGATATGATCTGTGTCGTGTCACCGAAGGGGGGTTGTGGGGGGGCACCGGTGGGAGCACAAAGCCTGACAGCATCAGAGTAGAGACGGGGAGGAGGCCTAGTAATAGTTGAGTTTGGAGACGGCCAGGACTGCTGTGTTGCAGCCAGGTGAGGCCAGGCAGGGGCAGGTGTTGTTGAAGAAGGCGTTGCCAGAGGAGGGGACGCAGGGGGATACAGCCGGTAGGCTAGGGGGAAGGTTGAGGTTGACGCAGCCTTCGGGGGAGGCTTTTCTCCCTGGACAGGCAGACGTTTGGGGCATTGCCATGAGTCAGCATTGTGCCAGCCACCACAATTACAACACCTTGGGTGAACAACATAGCCCACACCACCCACATTGAGGTGGTCTTTGATTTTCTGGGCACAGACGGAGGAGTGATGGTTACGTTGTAATGACCACAGTCGTACATGTCAGTTATCGTAAAATCAGACGATTCATATTACGCTCAATAGCCCACAAAACATGTAGCTATGCCTTCTTTATTGAGTCTCCCATCTGAGGCATCCGTTTTCTCATCACTTCAAGATGCCCGAGTCCTCCGTTTTCCCATTTTCTCTGACTTCCTGAAACCAACCTCTCTATAAAGTAAATCTGAATGTGAGAGAGCACACCATTGTTTTGAGTCAACTTAGATGTCTGATTACAGTTAAAGCATACAAGATCCTTTGTGAGTGATGTTGAAAGCTTTAACTGTCTCTATTGTTTGTAACACTTGTTAAGTGAATGTCGAGTCTGCCAGTACGAATGGCATCCGATGATATTGTCCCTGGGGATAGCCATGAACAGAAGCGACATCTGGGACGATCACGTCGGCAGCAGGCAGTGACGATGTGACCCCAACGGGAGCAGATGACACAAAAAGCAGGACCGGGGTGATAGAGTTCTGCATACAGTGGAGGGAGGATTGGGTGGGCCTCAACAGTGGTTGGGCAGTCCCTCCCTTTCCATTTAACTATGACAGCTGCTTGTGGGGTCTTTCCTTGGTCGTGTCGACGTATACTGAGTATACATGGATTAAAGCGTATAGGGGGAATTGTTTAACTAGGATTTGGCAACATTCCGCTACGTCAGCAGGTGAAGGCATGAGGACAATCCCATCAAATCCAACAGTACTAAGTGTTTCATAGACCTCAGGAGTCTGGCACTTGATAAAGTTACGGTTCTTACCTTTTCGGAATTGAATGGTGAGACCGTGTTGTCTCCAATACTTTGTTGTCCAATTAAACCGTTACTTGACGGTTTTCAGTGAGTCCTTGGGGAAGTGCAGATTCAGCTTACTTGGTTGGTTGGCAGAGGGGCGGGTGGTGAGGGGAAGCTCGCTGCCCTTGGCATTGGTGTTACCACTCCGACAAGTGTTTCCCATAGACATTATTGTTATTGTCACTATCACTGAGGTCTGACTCTTGCAGGGTGTGGGATGCAGTATGATTATCCGTATCAGAAATGTCTGTATCTATGAGAGAGGGGACGCCTCTTCTGGGGCGTTTACTTCGACCCGGCCCCCCCATCGCTGGCATCGCCTGGGTCAGGAGCAGGAGCTGCGTTAGGAAGAGTGTCCATGACAGCAGCAGAGTGCCTGAGGGAGAAAAGAGGGGTGTGTGGGTCCGCACTCAGGCGCATGGGCCGTGTCGGGAGCAGGGGCTGCCAGGCAGGAGCGGAGGAGGGTCCAGGACAGTGGCAGGGGGTACTGCTGGGCCGGGGGCAGCGTCTGAGGCAGGACGGGTGTGCTGGGGTCGGTAGGATGTGGTGCTTGGGGCAGGAAGAGATGCTGGTGTCTGCTTAGAGAAGCAGTGCTGCTCTAGGGTGTCTAACCTGCAGTGTAGAGACAGTAGCTGTAGAGCCGATGAGAGCTGCCTCTGTGTGGATAAGCCAGTCTTCCATGTTGCTTGAAGACTGGGAGAGTGATTGGTTTCTCCTCCATCCTCTGTGAGTGCGAATCTCCGGGGGTCACCATTTGTGGGGTACGGGTTATTGGTTCACACTCAGGTTGGGATGGAGAAAGAAAACTCACAATGTGCTCTCTGTATACATATTGTATTGGATGTACAATGCAGCTTGGTGCTAGGAGGTAGCAGCGTGAGTCCAAGCGTGAAGTAGAGAGAGCTGGTTGGTGAGAGTACTCAGAGGAGGACCAGCTTGTGGGTCGCCGGCGGGAGCGAGGGCCGCCAGGCAGGAGCGGAAGAGGTGGTGTTGCTTGCTGCAGCTGTAGGTAGAAAAAGGGGTAGGTCACCACGAGGTCAGGTCTTATATAGCGGAGGTAGGCGTGGCTTAATAGTTGACCTCCATCATGTAAGGCGGCGCTGGTTGACCTAGACCACGAGGCATACACTGGGGAATTCGCGGGGTCAGCTACTCAGCGACAAACAGCGTTTGTAGGGCAGGAATCCACTACAATGTCACTGTTCACTGCCATGCAGGACAGAGGTTCGTACACAAAGAAATACATCATATTCATTAGCAGTATATATAGGTCAGAGTCGTGTGGGTGATGTCACTGTTTGCTGCCATGCAAGACAGTGGCTCATATACATTGGACGTCATATTCTAATTGAAGACTAATCAGTGTGGGCTAGCAAATTTGGGATAAACAGCAAGAATGTCCTCAAGCACCCCCGGTTCAATGTAGTAATTACAAAGTTCATGATACAATAAGCCAGGTGGCCTGAAGTCTTTGACAGTGTCACATTCAATAACATAGTGTTCAAGTGTATGCTTTAAAGGTTTATCACAAAGTTTACATGCTGAGTGTTCCGGTAGGGGTACAGCGTTACTAACTTGCCAGATGTGTCTGTATCCTAGCCTAATTCTGGCCACGACTACATCACATTGTCTGGTTCTGTCCTTATGCTGGCCATACCGGTACCTCTTGTCACAAAATTTGTCATATTTACTAATGCTATAACTGCCAGGTCTCTCTGCATTTCTCAGTTCTTCTAGATCAGAGTTCATGATTCTGACTTGAATGTTTTTGAGTACAGCATTGGACAGGCCAAGGTCACGGTCAACATTTTCTTTCTTACATGCCTCATTGGCCAGTCGTAGGGGAGAGTATCCACTACAAGTTTTCCAATTGAAGATCCAAGAAAAATATTGGTAACATCATATGTAAAGAAAATACACTCAGATTATAATGCAAAAGCACTAACAATTGCTTTGAGATCTGGCAGTCAATGACCACATTAAACGTTGCCTTTTCTTCCTTTTCATTGTATAAAATTTTCACATTCTGCGGACATATTTCTGAATTTTACAACTTATAAAATTGAAATGCATTTTAATATTTTCCCTTTTGTTGATCAACTTACTGAGAAATTTACCAAGATATATAGACAAAAATCGTAACAGTGAGTTTACATGGCAGTAGATTACCAGCCGGGTGAGGAGCCAACCAGCGATGAGTGTCGTGCTGGGTGTAGCCGAGTGTAGTTACTGATACTCCTCACACATGAGCCTCAGTATCCTGTGCAGGTACACGTGTAGTGTTGTGCAGCGTTACGCCCAGCTGTCATCACCTCTAGTACACAGGAGGTGTCTTGTGAGCTCCATTTCGCTATATAAGAACCATAATCCTGGTTGGGGGAGCAAGAAACACACAGGCAAGCGGAAGATCCAGCTACAATCACTCTTACTATCGATGGATCCTGAGGTTGAAAAACAGCTGGCACCGCTGAGGGCCAGGTGCAAGGAACAGGTGAGAAGTGCTCAAGATATGGAATAATCAGTTTAATTGAAATGATGGAAGGCTAAAGTTACTGTTAGAATATAACTGTAGGACAAGAGGGAGATTAGATGTATAGGTTAATTTATAGTAGTGCACCATTCTTTCTTTGGGTATTGGAAATATGTGTAAAAAAAACAAAGAAAATTACCCCAAACCAACCTAACCTAAGCTAACCGGTTGATATAGGAATAACCCGCCAGGCTGCATAGCGTCGATGCGGCCATATCATCTCACGTCCAGAAATGCCTCAAATTTCACCATATTACATTAGGTTCTTTCTGTTTAATATACCGGGGAAGTTAGGTTGGTTTAGGTAGGTTTGGTTGGTTAGGTCTTTTCTTCATAATCACACAAATGTTAAGTAGCGTTTATTTTAAAAATACCCGTTTTTTAACATTTTCACAATCTTCAACAGTGTCCACTATAATATAACAATAAAAATCGGCGTTTTTATAATTGTTTTCAATCAATTTCGCCTGCGGGTTAGTCCTACATAATTACCAACTAGCCTAACCTGGTAAAATTGCAGATTACAGCAACCAAAGAATCTGATTAAAAAAATTTGATTTTCTAAGGGTTTTTGATGCGATTGGTTCAAATCTGACACTCGTTTTTATTGGAAATCACTCGTTTTAAATTTAGCCCCCACCCCCCACTCATTATAGTTCTATTGCTTGCGTGTTCTGAATTCCCGGTACTCTGTGCTTGCTAACTTATACAATATAATCAAACTAAACCCCAGACCCCCAAACTCTATATAATAACCCTAGAGTCGTGTGGTCAGCCTCCACAAGAATATAAATAGCTGCTACAGTGTTTCTTACCTTACTTCGAGTCAGAGTCTGAGTCGGGGACCAGAATGGGTAAATTTGCATTAGTTCACACATATCTGCTTGAAAGTCAAAACTATGTTTTTCAAGTGCATTTTTGTGTTTTAATTGGTTTTGACCTTGATCTCCGTCGGAAATTGCCTGTTTTTTAGTTATCGGTGGTTTTAGGTGGGTCATTTTCCGACAAAAATCATGGCCAAGCCAATACAAAATAAACCAAAAAACACTAGAAAAACATGTAAACCTGACCTAACCTAACCAAACTGTCACCACGATGGAATCGTTTATATCTTAACTTATTGGCCTGGTTCATGCCAACTATGTTGGTCTGGACGATATTTACACTCATTCTTACACTTAGGACACTTTACCGAGGTCGGGAGAACCCCATGAGATCTAAAAAATGCGATAGCTTGTTCGTTTTTTTCCCCCAAAACGCACCATCAGCTCCATATAATTGAAGTGACACCCATCACACTCTTCCATGGTCTGAAATGAATCTGAATTTCAAAATATGAGACCTAAAATCACAATTGAAACTCATTGGGCAAAAAATACCACGAATTAAATCACAATTCATTTTAATTGGTGCCCCAAAAGGCTTTTGATTGGCCGCGTGACATGTGCGGGAACGCATGCGCATGGCGATTTATGAAGGAAACACGCCGAATGGGAGGTGGGGCAGGCGATAATGGCGGAAGATTAATCAAAGCAAATAGAAAAATATTTGGCATGCGCTATCTCCGTTATTATATGTTTGCTGCAGTAATGTAATAGAAGAAAATTCTCTTAAAATTAATGTCTTTCTTGAATGTGATAATAGATTTGGGGCAGGAATGTTGTGCGAACTAATGCAAAAATACCCCAGAATGCATCTTGGGTTCCTCTGCTTTCTAAAGTTTCCTTATTTTTAGAATGAAATAATACAATAAACTTCCAATAATCGAAATCGCACCCAGCACATAATGGCTCCATATTGCAACTGATTAAAAATGTCCCGCATCCTACCACCCACGCCAAATATTGAACACTAATTGGTTGAATCAAATGTTGAGATTTTTTTATTGGATTTGATTGGCTGTTGCCCTACCCGCGGGAGGTAAGCGAACATATGAACACACAATTTGAGCAACAGCGTAGAGGCAACAGGTGCTCTGATTTTATTCTTTTAAAAATTCAATAACTTCCTTATCAATTTGCGACGGAAGTGTAATATAAGAAAATTATCATAGAAAAAATAGTTGTATCGATTGAGTGTAGTGAATTTCCGGAATTCTGTGGTTGCTGTAAACTGCAATATTACCCATAATCTAACCTAACCTAATCAGGGGGTCCCCCTGATTTGGTTAGATTAGATAGAATGGTGCACTAATATAAAAAGACCGATTTTTATTTTCACAGAAGATGCTGCTGTCTTTACAGCAGGGCTTGTTATTATCTTATTTGGTTAATATTTACTGTAGTGGCTGCCAACACCTATGTTACTTGATTCCACAAAGTGGGCAGGGCTTTGGGTATTATTTGAATTTCGGTCATCCTAGGAATCTTATGAATTAGGGTAGGCTAGACATCCAAACTATCTTTTTCCGATGGTTTTTTTTTGTGTGTTTTGAACAATTTGGACCTACATATTTGTAAGAAATCACAGTTTGGATATCCACCATTAGATACAGGGATGACCAAAATTACAATTTTACCGGGCTTAGAAATTGAAAGAAGTTGTGGTGTAAAGACGAGCAAAAATCTGACTCGACCATATCGAACTTTGGAGCAGATGGTTAAAACCAGAAGTTGTTGTTGGATTTCATTTGTTTTTTCCACAAATGTTCTTTGGATGATGCACAGAACCTAATAGAATCTGACCTAATCAACCTAACTACCTAGCCAAGGAGCGGCCCCTCTGGCATATTAAACAGAAAGAACTTACTTTGATATCTGGAACCAATGAAAACAACTTCCTTGAAGCAGCATGCTGTAATTGCACATTTTTTGTGGACATGGGAGTACACTTGGACCGAGTTGCTCAGTTGCTGCACTGAAACAAAGAACATACGACAACACTTGCAATTAATTTTTAATGACGAATTGTATTCATGATAATTTCCTTCCCTCTGTGTCGAGAGAATTGCTCCTTCGAATAGGACAAATGATTGGAAATTAAATTAAATATCTGGACCATCCTATCAAAAATTCTTTAAAATTTTATTATCTCTAATGTTAGTTTATGGTGCTGAATAATCATGAAATATGAATGAGAAAAGACATAATATATTTTTATTAACAATGTACAGTCAACCCTCGCTTTACGGGGTCCCACTTTACGCTTTTCCACGTTTACGCGGTACCCTGCCGAAACCGGAATGCTCACTTTCCACGGTGTGTGTACCCTTTTACGCGGAGAGCCAGGCGAGCAGGGTGCACACAAGATCGCCCAGTCATCAAAACATTACCGAGTTCTTCACCCGCCACCCACCACAGCCGGCCCAAGTCAGTGATAGTGATAATGATAGTGAGGATATGGACTTTGAGGGGTTTGACAAAGAGGCCCTGCAAGCCTCTGTGGTAGATAGTGATACAAGTGATACAGGTGAGGGCCAATAATCTGCCCCCTGCCTCGGATCCAACCCCCAATCCCCGTGTGCCCAGCCATCTTTTCTAGTAATGTAAGTGTTAAAAAACCTAATATTATTGATATTTTCTTAATTATTAATTGTGTGTGCATACCATCATAAAATTAAGAAGTTATTTTTACTACAACGTAGGTATTGTGTCTGAAAAAGTGGAGTTTGGGGGTCGGCCCGGTCTCTATTTCAATTAATCCCATATGTTATGTTGTTCACTTTACGCGTTTCTCACTTTACGCGGGCCGCCGTGGGTTGAATTAACCGCATAAAGTGAGGGTTCACTGTAGTCCAATTTACTGTGGTATCAGTAACGTTAATAAATTTTTAAAACAGTTTCCGGTGCTCATTGTGATATTTAACCATCAAAATGTCACTAGTGTACTCCTACAATGCATTTCTGTGGTTCCTCCAAGCAGTTGGTAAATTTTTTTTTATACTGTACCTGCCACGGCATTTTGATATAATTTTATTAAAAAAAAAATTAAGCAGGCTTTGTGGTTAATATTAAGCTGGTGGCTTTTTGCAGTTTTCAAGACAAAATGGTGTACTGTATTTGCTCTTTTTGCATTAAGAAGGTTAGGAGGTTCATTTTATTCTTGAGAAAACTGTAAATTAAGTGACGGAATTGTGTTTTTCTTATTTTTTATGTATTTTTTTCTCCCATAAGTAATTAACATACATTAGTACCTCGATACACTGGAATGATGGGGTCAGATCCCAGTTTGGAAAATGTGAAAGTCAAAAAAAGCAAATGTATGAAGGGGGGGTTACACTGCTTATATGGACTGTTTAAAAAAAAAGTCAATTGTTATAATGCTATTACTGTGCTTCAACAACTAAGGTCTGTAAGTGCATAACAAGGTTAGTAGAACACTATTACATCAACAATAAAAAAAAAGTTGAAAATCAGACTGGTTGTCAACTACTTTTTTCACTGAAAAGATTGTTTCGTACTGTAAAGTGTTATATATAAGTAACCATAGAATTTGTTTTGTGAATAAAGAGAAAACTGTATACTGTACAGTACTGTACTATAAAGATAAAAATAAAACATAAGAGTGTAGGGGTATATTGTGTGTGGGATGTGAGTGTGTGCTGTATGTGGGAACTTGTGGCGGGCAGGTGGGTGACACCTCTCTTCCTCCCTCCCAGGATCCATTTAACATGTCTTTATGCAATTTCACCATAATTCTCAAATTATTTAGGTTTATTTGGTACAGGGTTGATAAAATGTCATAAAATAATCAACTTTCCCTCAAAAAATCCCACACTCAACACCATTTTCTATTTTATCCTCTTCACCACTGATCGGCTCTTTAGCCACTTGGGCGATCCGTCACGTCTCTGTTACGCACTGTTGGCAAGTACTGGGCATGCACTGGCTCCTGAATGTATCTGAATCTGCTCCAGTGTTGGTCAAGTCTAGCTCACACTCGGTGCTGCCTTAACACACACTGGCAGGTTGTTCCAAGAATTCACAATTCTCACTCCATAAAAGTTACCCCTCACAGTTTTC